CTAGTGGTGGGACCCAGCCACAACACCCTGCTTCAGAGTCTCAGTAATCAATGTGCTCCTAGAGGCCTGGGCACTGATGATCCCAGGTTCAATTCCTGCTGATGGAGGCTGCATGCATGTGAAAGTTACCCAGGCTCTCCTCTGCCCACCGCCGCCCTCCTACCTTCCTCTGGTAGATGGCGATCCAGTTGGTGGTAGCAAACCACTTGTGGTTCTTGATGTCATTGACCCCATTCTTGAGGTTGCCAAAGCGTTTGGTGAGGTCCACCTGCAGCAGGTTCTGGAGCAGGTCCCTCAGCTCCGAGCTGAAATGACCCGGTAACCAGACCTGGGGTGTAGAGGAGAGACAGAGGTCTGGCTTTTACCTGCCCTGCCCTGCCCTCGTGGCTAGATTCACAGATACACCTAATAATGTACAGCCCCTAGCACGGGGGGTGGGGGGTCCTGGGCTATGCCTGGGTGCTGAGACACTACCATAATACACCTAGTAATGTACAGCCCCTAGCACAGGATGTCCTGGGCTATGCCTGGGGCGCCTAGGCACTACCATAATACACCTAATATGTACATCACCTAGCACAATGGGGTCCTGACCCATGACTGGGGCTTGTAGGCACTATCGTAAAACACCTAATAATAAATAACAAGCCCTTTAAAACCACTCCAGGACAATGAGTAGACAAGAAGTGGGGGGGGGGGGGCTACTGAGAACTGACACAGGAGCTGAAATGCTTATTTAGCAGCAGCCCCCCCCCCCCCAGCTCTTATTGAGCATTTTTCCTCCACAGATCTCAAAGCAGGGCTGCCGCATCACTATCCTCATTTTACATAAGGGGAAACCGAGGCACGGGGAGACGTGACTTGCCCACGGTCAATCAGCAGGCTGGTAGGAGAACCGGGAACAGAACCCAGGCCTGTTAAGTTCCCCACTAGCTTTAAAGCTGACCGTGTCCAACACGAGTGCGTGGAGATCCTTGGCGAAAAGGCGCTGGGGTGGGCAGAGGAACATTATGGGCTCTTGGTTACTATGGCGATGAGTGCTGTACCAGTGCCTGGAGATGACTAACGTGTTTAAGGAACGTTTAGTTTTGCAACATAACAGGGTTGTGGAGGGTTTTGCAATTCAAAACAGTGTATAAGAAAACCAAAGGCACCTGTTCCAGGAGTCCCCATGAGAGTTACAGGGTGGTGGGGTGGGGGATGGAGTCCACGTATTGGGGAAATAGGGGCACGTGGCGAGAGAGGGTCCATGTGTGGGGGACACAATGGGGATGATGTCCATGCGTTGGAGAACAGGGGTACGTGGCAAGGGAGGGTCTATGTGTTGGGGTGCAGGGGGAATGGGGTACATGACAGGGAGGATGCCCACGTGTTGGGGATTGGGGGAGCATGGGAGGGCATGAGCATGTCGGGGGCGCAGCGTGTGAGCATCACTCTGATCAGTCACTGAGACTTGGCACCCCCCTTTAATTGGCGAACCCCGCCCCCCCAAATCACACAAGTGTCCCCTCCCCCAGCCCAAATACCTTGCCAGAGACGATCTTCTCATAGATCTGAATGGGCTGGTCCGCGAAGAACGGGGGGTAACCAGCCACCATCTCGTAGATGAGGACGCCGAGGGCCCACCAGTCCACAGCCTTGTTATAACCCTGCCCGGGGAAAGCAGGCCAGGGTCACACACCGAACATTTGTGTGGTGGGGGGAACCACCTGGTGACCAGGAATCAGATGGAGATCAGGCAGCGGAGAGGCCCTCCCCAGCTCACCTTGCTGAGGATGATCTCAGGGGCCAGGTATTCCGGGGTCCCACATAGAGTCCAGGTTCGGCCTTTCACCCGCTTGGCAAAACCAAAATCTATCCGTGTTACATTTCTGGGGGTGTCTTGGCTTTGGGAAGGGGATGGCAGCAGAGAGAGACTTGGGCAGGGAGGAGATCACTGCAGGGAGCCAGGAGCCAGGGCTGGAATGGGGAAGGGAAGGAGTGGGGGAGGGGCAGCAGCCTCACCTCTATGTAGCCCTGCTGGTCTATCAGGAGATTCTCTGGCTTCAGGTCTCGGTAGATGAGATCCAGCGAGTGCAGATACTCAAAGGTCAGGACGATCTGAGCAGTGTAGAACCGGGCGTGAGGTTCACTGCAATGAGGTGGGAGGAGAACATGGGCATCCCGGGCCAGATCCGCCCCCTCTCAGCCAGCCCAGCACCCTCGGCCCCCTGCAACCCTCATCTTCACCTTCCTTATAGATCCCTGACTCCATCTACCCTGGCAACCCCTGGCAAGATGCCCCAACTCTTCTAGGCCTGGTGGCCCCATCTGCCCAGCCAGACCACTAGTCCTAGCACACACATCCCACCCATCATTGCTAGACCCTGACTCCATCCAGCCTGGCAACCCAGGGCAAGCTCCTCCCAGACCAGCATCTCCCCCCTAGCCTGAACACAGGCACCCATGGACCCCCAGCTCCATCCAGCCTGGGCCCATCTAGCCCTGGCATCCCTGGCCACTGACTGTGGCTAGTGCTGGCAGAAGACCTCAGCAGCCCTCCCCATGGGGAATCCCTTCCTGACCAGCCCAGCTGGGGATCAGGTCACGCCCTCCAGCATGAGGATCAAAGCCAGCGTCGCTGCAGATGCTGCTAGTGGATAAAAGGTCTAGTTCTCTACTGAACTAAATCCCAAATTCACAGCTGTGGAAACTGAGGCACAGAGTGATTTCCCCCCCCCTTTCCCACAAGGAGTGAATGGCAGAGGCAGGAATAGGACCCAGGAGTCCCGACTCCCAGTCCCTCTGCTCTAAGTGCTAGATCCCACTGTCCTCCCTGAGCCAGGGAGACAACCCAGGAGTCTAACCGCCACCCAGCTCTAACCAGTAGCGACAGTGTCCCCAACATCGGCTCCCGTGGCAACGCTCACCTGAACCTCCCGATCCACCGTAGGTGGGAGAACATCTCCCCGCCCGGGATGTATTCCATCACCATGTACAGATTGGAGTTATCCTAGAAGGAAATGCAGCAGCAACGGAGTGCAAGGGGGCCCCCCGTCAGCGCCTGCGACACCAGGATGAAACTGCTCCCCACACTCCTGCTCTGTTATTAGCCCCATCCCTTTCAGGGCGCTAACCCCACACGTCTCAAGGGGGCCTGATGCACTGGCCTGGCTTCCACATAGCACACAATGCAGTACACCTGCTGTCTGGGTGATAATGGCCTATTACTGCCGCCAGCTGCTGCTGTTACTCCTTTAGCTCAAGGGCCAGAGGGGCTGCGCTGTGGTGCCGAAGGTCCCAAGCACACACCTGCAGTGGGAGTTGCTGCACAGACGCGGCTGGGGAATAGACTCACTAATGAGAGGGCGCGAGCTTTATTTGCCTGGAGTATTTAGTGCTAGAGCCCTAGAAAATTCAACCCCTCCCCACACCTCTGGTCTAGGGGCAGGGATGGGCAGGCCCAAGAGGGATTTCCCAGCTATGACATCTACGATCAAAGGGGAAACCCAACCTGCCGCCAGGTCGGACACCCCAAAGGAGCAGTAGCAGGAAGTGAAACTTCTCAAAAGCAGAGTGTGAAATTGACCAGGCTGGCTTCATCCTCCCTTGGGGCTGCAAAGTCAAAGAGCAGCCTCCGAAGTAACTCCGCTGAGCCCAACAAAGCCATTCCGCTACCAGAAGTGTCAGGAATCAAACCCAAATGTAACGCATTGTTCTACGTAAAGCTGCTCCACCTCTCGTAACAAGTGTTTGTCTGATCTATGTTAGAGTATCGTTCTGGGTCGGTTCTGTGCCGGGTTCTGTTCCAGCTTCTTCTCATGCAGCTATGCTTCCCACCCTTTTCCCTGGCTGCTGAAGCTGGAACTTTGGAGACTTTCCAGATACTGAACATACCCAAGTGCTGCTCAGAAAGAGTCCCACATTCCACAGGTGCACTTGAAACACTCAGGTGTGACACACCAAGGTATAGTCACTAGTAAGAGACTTCTAGTGATTGCTCAAGAGGGTCAGAAACAACCAGAGCTGAGGTAGCGCAGGGAAGGCAAGTTGCTGGGCTGTCTGCTCTGGCTTGAGAGGGGAAGCAAGTACTGAATGAAGAGGATGGGAGGAGATTTGGGGAGAGTGGGTAGAATTTATTAGAGTGCTCAAAAGGGGCTCAGAGAAATGCATCCTGCCCTCTGCTCCCTTCCCACAGTATTTCCAGAAGGTGATTCCTCATCAGTTCGACAGTTGCCCGGACAAGTTGATCCTGAAGGCATACCAGGTCAAATACAACCCCAAGAAAATGAAGAGGTAAGTTTGCTCCCTCACTCTGTGAAAGATCCTAGACAGGCGACAGGCAGAAAAACCCCTCCTTGGTCTGTGCTGTTTCGATAGGGTTACCATTCGTCCGGATTCCCCCGGACATGTCCGGATTTTTGAGCTAAAAATAGCGTCCGGGGGGAATTTGTAAATGTTCGGACTTCCCCCCGGACGGTAACAGGGCAGCTGGCCGGATGGTGTAACTTACGTGGGGCTCCCACAGCCAGAGACAGCCCCTCCTCCGCTCCCCTGCAACAGAGATCAACTCCCTCCCTCCCTGCATTCCAGATCGCCTCCGGCAGTCTGGAGCTCCTCCCCCGCCAGCCAGCCTGCCGGGACAAGCCTGCCGGGACGAACGGCTCAGGTCATTCCTGAGCAAGCTCACGGAGACATTAGGCGAAGGCCAACAACAAGGGGGCCAGGGGGTCGGAGAAGGGGCAGGGAGGTTCTGGAGGGGGCAGTCAAGAGACGGGGGGGGTCGGGAGTTCGGGGGGGCTTTCTGGGGGAGGGTGTGGATAAGGTTTTGGGCAGTCAGGGTACAGATAGAGGGTAGGGTCCTGGGGGGCATTTGGGGGGGGTCTCAGGAGGGGGCAGTTAGGGGATAAGGAGCAGGGAGGCTTAGGTAGGGGGTGAGGTTCTGGAGGGCAGTTAGGAGCAGGGGTCCCAGGAGGGGTGGTCAGGGGACAAGGAATGGGGGGGGGG